GATTGTTGTTTTAAGGCCTTGCATGTTAAGATTGGTGATTAACTGTTGATCTAAGGTCTTGCATGTTAAGATCTAGTGATCGATGGTTGATCTAAAGTCTTGCATGTTAAGATCTAGTGTTTTCTATGAAAAATGGTTTAAGAACTAAGAACTTGTGCTAATTTGGTTTAAAATACTCTTGCATGTGAAGATCTAGTGTGTTTGCTTGAATAAATGTAAAGATGAAAGTCTTGAATTTTATTCTTGTAAAAATGCTAGATCTAGTGAACTTTGTTGTTAGATTGTTTTTGCATGTTAAGATTTCGGTTATTTCTATGTTTTTATGGCTAAATGATTTTGTGAAGCTTTATGTGTATTTTCTATGTGCTCCTATGTGCTCTTGCTTGCTTATGTGAATCATTGGGTGTAAGGATGAGAGAAGGGTAAGTAGAAAGGGTGCATGGGTGGGTGCATTAAGTGTCATGAATTTTTAAAAGATAAAACTATGTTGGAAAGTCTTTCGAAGTTACGGTAAATTTCTCGGGTACGGCGAGCCTGGTACCGTAGGGCCTAGGGGTGGTTTGATCCCACGTAGTTAGTCATGGTTCGAATTACATGGGGTTATTTATCCGTAACTTAGATTGGCTCTTCCGAGGGATTCCCGACAATTTTTCATGTCATGCATGTTGCATTTCGGTGTTGTTGATATAGGCGGGAAAATCTCACTCTATGGTCTTGGGACCGTAGGGTTATAAAGGTGGGAAATTCCTTCTATATTCATCAATACGTGTCATGGCATAGGGTTATAAAAGTGGGATATTCTCACTCTATGGTCTTGGGATCATAGGGTTATAAAGGTGGGAATTATCTCACTCTATGCGTGGTGACAATTATGTGAATGAAGAACGCCGACGAAAAAGGGAAGTATATGATTGTTTTACTTCATGTTGTATGTTCATGTATAAGATATATGTATGTGTATATATATATGTATAGATATATGTATGCTCTATGTGCTATGTGTATTCGATATTACTTCAAGATTCTCATTGAGTCCTCAAAGACTCATATAGGTGTTGTATGTTTGTAGGTATACCCGATTTAGGGCCCGAGGAGTGACGTTGGGAATCGAGCTCGAGAATCGGAAGGGGATCGTATGGAGGGGTTGTGAATAGTGTTGGCTCTTAATTTGGTTATGTGGTTCTATTTGTACAATATGCTTGTAAAAACGTTTGATACGGTTTTAGGTATTTTCTACCGATCGCTTCCTCCGATCGGTGGAAATTATTAAAAGACGACATGTGTAATAGTAATTAGGATTACCCTATTTTGGATAATTAATCGGTAATCCGTAGCCTTTTGTAAGCGAAAGCAAATTTTAACTATCTATATGCATGCATGCTTTCGGCTAGTAATTTCTTCGTATCTTGTCTCCATGCTCTAAAATTATTTTCATATAGGTGCTCTGCTTAGAAAATCATGAAATTTTAGGAGTCTCTGCATCTCTTTGTTCTCATCACATTGGTAGGTCTTGTGCATGATTTGGGTAAGTAGTTATTTAGTTATGATTTATTTCTCGCTACTGCATTGAAACAGGGTCATTCGGGTGTTTTCTGGTATAACTGGAGTTTTACTCACTCAAATGCCTTGTTTCCACTTGGAAAATGTTTTCAACTTACCTTTCTGACTTGGGGTAAAATTTGGTAGTTTTTGGGTCAGTGAGGAATTTATTATGAATTTTCAAAACTCCCTCCCCTGTTCTGGATTTTTAAACTGAGTGACTGTGCCATTTTATTTATTTCTCCTCAATGGCCATGCATCTTTCAAAACGGTTTTAACTGAGTGATCTAGACCCGTATTATATGGTATGGTATAATTTTGGGGTTATTTGCATGAGTATTGTAAGAGGAATTAATTTTTAAAGCTTCTGCATTGAATCTGTCCGCATTTGCATTAAGTTCATCATGCCTAGTTAATTTCTAGTCTTGCATGTAGTATGCCTTTGTGTTAGAATTTGATTAGGATTTAGCAAGTTGTGCCCTCTCTCCCTCTGATTTAAAAAGAAAAATTTTTACGTAAATTTTATATCCACAAAAATCATGTTTTCAAAAGTCTTCCGCTGAGATTACATATAATAAGGGTAATCGAGAGAGGGGTGTCACAGAAGAAGCTCAAAATATTTTCTTCAAGAGATTCTTGAATTTGAATGTAAGAGCTACATCTCCTCTCTTATTCGAAAATTTCCTCTCTTCCTTCTTCATACTGTTTTGTAATCTAACTCTTTATCTGTTCTTGTATTAGAGAGAAAAGAGCTAACAAATCCTTCCCCTAAAGAGTATAGGTGAGAATTCTTGAATTCTTGCTCAAACCTACAACACCACTAGTATTTTCGTTTTTACGTGTTTTCATTGTTTATTCTTGCATATTATGTGATTATATGTTTTAGATGATGATTGCATGTTAGTGTTTTGAAAATATAACTTTGTTCTTGAAGTTCTATGACTTTTTAGAAAATTGGGGAAAAATGTTTAAAATTGCTTATTTGGCTTAATTAGTGCCTTGCATGTGTTAATCTAGTGTTTGATTGTTGATTTGTGCAAAGAAAATGAATTTTTGGCCTAGCCATGAAACTTTCGAATTTTTTTGAGGAAAAATGCTTAGATTGCTTATTTGGCTTAATTAGTGTTTTGCATGTGTTAATCTAGTGTTTGATTGTTGAGTTGTGAAGAAAAATTGAATTTTTGACTTAGCTAAGGAACCTTCGAATTTTTGAGGTAAAATTCTTAAAATGGTTTATTTGGTTTATTTGCTATCTTGTATGTGTTGATCTTGTGTTGATTGTTGTTTTAAGGCCTTGCATGTAAGATTGGTGATTGATTGTTGATCTAAGGTCTTGCATGTTAAGATCTAGTGATTGATGGTTGATCTAAAGCCTTGCATGTTAAGATCTAGTGTTTTCTATGTAAAATGATTTAAGAACTTAAAATTTGTGCTAACTTGATTTAGAATACTCTTGCATGTGAAGATCTAGTGTATTTATTTGAATAAATGTAAAGATGGAAGTCTTGAATTTTATTCTTGTAAAAATGCTAGATTTAGTGAACTTTTGATGATAGATTGTCTTTCCATGTTAAGATTTCGGTTACTTCTATGTTTTTATGGCTAAATGATTTTGTGAAGCTTTATGTGTATTTTCTAATGTGTATTTTCTATGTGCTCCTATGTGCTCTTGCTTGCTTATGTGAATCATTGGGTGTAAGGATGAGAGAAGGGTAAGTAGAAGGGTGCATGGGTGGGTGCATTAGTGTCATGAATTTTGAAAGATAAAACTATGTTGGAAAGTCTTTCGAGGTTACGGTAAATTTCCCGGGTACGGCCAGTTGGTACCGTAGGGCCTAGGGGTGGTTTGATCCCACGTAGATAGACATGATTAGATATATATGTGAGGTTATTTACAGGTAACTTAGATTGGCTCTTCCGAGGGATTCCCGACAATTTTTCATGTCATGCATGTTGCATTATGGTGTTGATGATATAGGTGGGAAAATCTCACTCTATGGTCTTGGGATCGTAGGGTTATAAAGGTGGGAAATTCCTTCTAATCTTCAATACGTGTCATGGCATAGGGTTATGAAGGTGGGATATTCTCACTCTATGGTCTTGGGATCATAGGGTTATAAAAGTGGGAATTATCTCACTCTATGCGTGTGGCAATTATGTGAATGAAGAACGCCAACGAAAAAGGGAAGTATATGATTGTTTTACTTTATGTTGCATGTTCATGTATAAGATATATGTATGTATATATATATATATATATATAGATATATGTATGCTCTATGTGTTATGTGTAGTCGATAATACTTCAAGATTCTCATTGAGTCCTCAAAGGCTCATATAGGTGTTGTATGTTTGTAGGTATACCCGATTTAGGGCCCGAGGAGTGAAGTTGGGAATCGAGCTCGAGAATCGGAAGGAGATCGTATGGAGGGGTTGTGGATTGTGTTGGCTCTTAATTTAGTTATGTGGTTCTATTTGTATAATATGCTTGTAAAAACTTTTGATACGGTTTTAGGTATTCTCTACCGTTCGCTTCCTCCGATCGGTGGAAATTAATAAAAGACAATATGTGTAATAGTAATTAGGATTACCCTATTTTGGATAATTAATCGGTAATCCGTAGCCTTTTGTAAGCGAAAACAAATTTTCACTATTTATATGTATGCATGCTTCCGGCTAGTAATTTCTTCGTGTTTTGTCTCCATGTTCTAAAATTATTTTCCTATAGGCGTTCTGCTTAGAAAATCATGAAATTTTTGGAGTCTCTTCATCTCTCTGTTTCTATCTAATTGATAGGTCTTGTGCATGATTTGGGTAAGTATTTAATTAGTTATGATTTATTTCTCACTACTGCATTAAAACATGGCCATTCGGGTGTTTTCTGGTATAACTGGAGTTTAACTCAATTAAATGCCTTGTTTCTACTTGGAAAATGTTTTAAACTTATCATTCTGCCTTGGGGTAAAATTTTCTAGTTTTTGGGTCAGTGAGGAATTTATTATGAATTTTCAAAACTCCCTCCCCTGTTCTGGATTGTTAAACTGAGTGACTGTGCCATTTTATTTATTTCTCCTAAATGGCCATGCATATTTCAAAACTGTTTTGAATTAGTGATCTAGACCCGGTTTCGATGGTATGGTTTTATTTTGGGGTTATTTGCATGAGTAGTTTAAGAGGAATTAAGTTTTAAAGCTTCTGCATTGAATCTGTCCGCATTTGCATTAAGTCCATCATGCCTAGTTAATTTCTAGTCTTGCATGTAGTATGCTTTTGTGTCAATTATTTGATTAGGATTTAGTACACTGTGACCTCTCTCCCTCTGATTTAAAAAGAAAAATTTTTACGTAAATTTTATATCCACAAAAATCATTTTTAAAAGTCATCCGCTGAGATTACATATAATAAAGGTAATCGAGAGAGGGGTGTCACAACTTGGGTGGTATCAGAGCAACGATCCCGGAAACCTCCATACGACCTAAAGATCTTCACTATTCTCAAAGCACGACTCCAACTGAACACTCGGGCAGGTATATGTTTTATGTGAATTTTATGTGAATTTTATGGCTAATGTGAATTGTTTGTATATGTTTAAGTATTAAAATGTCTGGAGCAAGAACTCGAGCTCAAAATGCCGCTAACGACCCTCACAATCAATTTTATGTGAATTTTATGGCTAATGTGAATTGTTTGTATATGTTTAAGTATTAAAATGTCTGGAGCAAGAACTCGAGCTCAAAATGCCGCTAACGACCCTCACAATCAATCTCGTACCATCCAAGACCTCACCGCCCTCGTCCGAGAACAAAACGAACAAATCAACCGCCTTGTTAACCTTCAAAACCGAAACCCTCCTCCACCTCCTCCTCCTCCTCCTCTCCAACTTAGAAATACAGCCCCACAAGCCACCTACGAGCGATTTCTGAAAATGCATCCTACCGAATTCCACGCCGGCCCTAGTCCAACTGTTGCCGAAGAATGGATTAAATCCCTCGAAGTTATCTTCGAATACATGGTGATGAACGACAGCGACCGAATCCATTGTGCACTTTTCTTGTTGAAAAACGAAGCCCGAAATTGGTGGGAAGGCGCAAAGAGTGGAATCGATCTAGCAAATACCACTTGGGAAGCTTTCAAAGTTCTTTTCTTCGAAAAGTACTTTTCCAAGAATGTTCGAGCGCAAAAGCTTAAGGAGTTTCTCGAACTCAAACAAGGAACCTAACCGTTGCCGAATTCACACGCCGTTTATATCCAAAGACGACACCGAAAAGATGAATCACTACCTGAGAGGCCTCAACCCGATAATCAAGCGCGACGTTCGACTAACCTCTGCTTCTACTTTCCGCGGAGTAGTGGACAAAGCCTTGGAAGCCGAACAATATGAGATGGAAATACGACAATGGAGACCTCCTCACGATGCCTCTTCTCGACCATGGAAGAAACCGAACCTCAACAACGCCAAAGGAAAGCAACCGATCAACCGAGCAACCGTGACCCCGAGCAACAAACCCTTTTGCCTCAAATGCAATCGAGAGCACTCAGGCGATTGTATTGCCGGAACCAACCATTGTTTTCGATGCAAGAAGCCCGGACACATGGTCCGAGACTGCCCTATCGCCCCGAGACAAGTGCCGGGACGAGTATTCGCCATGACAAGAGACCAATCCGAAGCTGACCCGTCAATGATCGCAGGTACCGTTAATGTGTATAATAATTCCGTGTATGCCCTCATCGACTCCGGATCAACTCACTCATTCATCTCAAGTAGCCTCGTTGCCGAACTCCGCCTAGTCCGTAGTCAAGCCGATGCCTTGTTTAGCATACTCATTCCTTCCGGTGATGAACTTAAATCCAATTTCATCATCAAAGATTGCCCTATTCAGATTCATAACCAAACCCTAGCCTCCGATCTGATCATCCTACCCATAAAACATTTCGAAATAACCCTCGGAATTGATTGGTTATGAAAATTCGACGCCCAAATTAATTGCGCTCACAAAACCGTTCGTTTCTCCTTACCGAATGGAAGTTTTCCCGAATTCCGAAGCTCGTACAATCCGTCGATTCCTATCATTTCCGCCATTAAAGCGAGCAAACTTATTCAAAAAGGGAATCTATGTCATTTGGTCGACATAGTGGAAACTCTCAACGAAGATAAAGCCGAAATTTCCAAAGTGCCAACCGTTTGCGAATTTCCCGATGTCTTTCCCGAAGATCTCCCCGGTCTTCCGCCCGATCGTGAAATCGAATTCGAAATTAATTTGATCCCCGGTTCCGCTCCTATCTCGAAGGCACCTTATCGCATGGCGCCGTTAGAGCTAAAGGAACTCAAGGACCAAATTCAAGATCTCATGGACAAGAAGTTCATCCGCCCTAGTTTTTCCCCATGGGGTGCTCTGGTACTCTTTGTGAAAAAGAAAGATGGAACCCTCCGAATGTGTATCGATTACCGAGAACTCAACAAGGTCACCGTCAAAAACAAGTATCCATTGCCACGAATTGACGACCTTTTCGATCAACTTCAAGGCTCCACGGTCTATTCCAAAATCGACCTCCGTTCCGGATATCATCAATTGAAGATCAAGAAGGAAGATATTCCGAAAACCGCGTTTCGGACTCGTTACTGCCACTACGAATTTGTAGTGATGTCGTTTGGTCTAACCAACGCCCCAGCCGCTTTCATGGATCTCATGAATCGAATCTTCCGCAAATATCTCGATCAATTTGTGATCGTATTTATCGAAGATATCTTAGTGTACTCAAGAAATGATGAAGAACATCGGAACCATTTGGAAATGGTGCTCCAAACTCTCCGAGAGAACCAACTCTATGCGAAGTTTTCCAAATGTGAGTTTTGGTTAAGACAAGTCCACTTTCTGGGTCACGTAATTTCCAAGAAAGGCATAGCCGTTGATCCAAGCAAGATTGAAGCCGTTTGTAATTGGTCAATCCCTCGTAATGTCGGAGAAATCCAAAGTTTCCTCAGCCTTGCAACCTACTACCGACGGTTCGTTCCAAACTTTTCCAAGATAGCCGCTCCACTCTCTCGTTTGACCTGAAAGGAAGTCAAGTACCAATGGACTCCCGAATGCAAGTCTAGTTTCCAAGAACTCAAGAAGCGATTAACCTCGGCACCAATCCTCGCTCTACCCGATCAAACCGGAAACTATGTGGTTTATAGTGACGCCTCCAAGAACGGGCTCGGAGCCGTCCTAATGCAAAACGAGAATGTAATTGCCTATGCCTCTAGACAATTAAAAGACTACGAGAAGAATTACCCGACGCACGACTTATAACTCGCGGCAGTCGTGTTCGCCCTCAAAATTTGGAGACATTACCTTTATAGCGAAAAATGTTCGATCTTCACCGACCATAAAAGTCTCAAGTACTTCTTTACTCAAAAAGGGCTCAATATGAGGCAAAGAAGATGGCTTGAATTAGTCAAGGACTATGATTGCGAAATCCTTTACCATCCCGGTAAAGCCAACGTTGTCGCCGACGCTCTTAGCCGAAAATCCATGTCCGCCTTGATCATTAAACCGCCGCTCGAATCAACTATCAAGTCCGCTCAAGACCATGATGATCAACTTGTTAAAATTCGAGAAGGCTTAGCAACCGGTCGAAATCCAAATTTCTCAATGACCGACAACAAAATCTTGAAATTTCAAGGAGAATTTGCATTCCGACAAACAAAGAGATAAAGGGATTAATTCTCGACGAAGCTCACAAAACGCCCTACTCTTGCCATCCGGGTGAAACCAAAATGTACAAAGACTTGAAGAAGTTTTATTGGTGGCCAGGCATGAAGAAGGATATAGCCAAATACGTATCCGAATGCCTAATTTGTCAACAAATCAAAATGGAACACCAAAGGCCCGGTGGAATTCTACAATCCAACCTTATTCCCGAATGGAAATGGGAAAGAGTAACGATGGACTTTGTTCAAGGTTTCCCGAAGACTCTTAAAGGATCCGATTCAATATGGGTAATAGTCGATCGCCTAAATAAGTCCGCACACTTCTTACCGGTCAAGACCACTTTTAGTCTCGAAATATTGGCCGAACTCTATATCGGAGAAATCGTCCGACTCCATGGCGTTCTGATATCAATCATCTCCGACCGAGATCCTCAATTCACTTCCAAATTCTGGAAAAGATTGCACGAAACGATGGGAACCCGTCTAGCCTTTAGCACGGCTTACCATCCCCAAACCGACGGACAATCGGAAAAGACAATCAAGACCCTCGAAGACATGCTTCGAGCATGTATGATGGATTTTGGTGGTAATTGAGAAAGTCGTCTACCTCTCATCGAATTCTCGTACAACAATAGCTTCCAATCTTCGATCGGAATGGCACCTTACGAAGCCTTGTACGGAAGAAAATGCCGTTCTCCAATCCATTGGGACGAAGTAGGAGAGCGAAGATTATTAGGACCCGAGCTGGTCCAACACACCATCGACATAATCAAGAATATTCGAGAGAAAATGAGAACCGCCCAAGATCGCCAACAAAAGTACGCGAATAAAAGAAGGCGAGATTTGGAATTCAAAGCCGGTGACCACGTATTCTTGAAAGTCGCTCCGCTCAAAGGAATCATGCGATTCGGAAAACGAGGAAAGTTAAGCCCTCGATTCATTGGACCCTTCGAAATACTCGACCGAATTGGTGGCCAAGCCTATCGCCTCGCCCTACCGCCTCAACTATCCAAGATCCACAATGTCTTTCACGTCTCCATGCTCCGAAAATATATTCCCAACCCTAACCACATCCTTGAAACCGAACCCCTCAATTTATCCCCGAACCTATCCTTTACCGAAGAACCCTCCCAAATATTAGACCGAAAAGTTAGGAAACTCCGAAACAAAGAAATTCGCCTAGCCAAAATCCTTTGGAAAAACCATTCTCCGGATGAGTCAACGTGGGAACTTGAGGATGAGATTGTGAGTCGTTATCCGGAACTAATTGAAAAAGGTACAAATTTTGGGGACAAAATTTTTTTTAAGGGGGGAAGATTGTAACACCCCGCATTTTCGGTAAAATATTATTATTTTATTTTACCACCTTTATGTGCATATATGTGAAATTAGAATTTATAATAATTCTTGCATGGTTAGTATTTACGTGAATTAGGTAATTATGTGAAATATATGAATTATGTGATTATTATGTGAATTATGTGATTATGTGAAATTATGTGATTATGTGAATTATGTGCTTAGGAAATATTTCGAGATATTATTTCGAAATAAATTATTTTCATGAATTAGGATTTTTGCATATGAATTTAAATGAGCATTTCATCATATTTATGCATGCACAAAATTTTAGAAAATAAATTTTCTCATGCATTTTAGGATTTTTAATTTATTTAGAAAATTTAAAAATCCTCCTCACATTTTCATGAATTTCCGGACATCACACACACACACACATGATTTTTAAATTTTTGCATATTAATTAGTAGAAAAACATGCATTAGTGTGGTTGTACTTTGAGCATAGAAAGAAATACCCAAGCCTTAGCCCCCTTCTTTATAGACTAGGCATGCTTTTCACTCCACTTTAAGTAAGACCAAAGGTATTTCTTCTTCTTCCTCTCCCCTTCATTTCGGCAGCCACACCACCACCACCATAGCCACCATTTTCTCAAGCTTGAACCACCCAAGAACCACCACCACTCCCATTTTCGAAAATTGCAAAATCACCCCCAACCTTGCTTGCTTATGTGAATCATTGGGTGTAAGGATGAGAGAAGGGTAAGTAGAAGGGTGCATGGGTGGGTGCATTAGTGTCATGAATTTTAAAAGATAAAACTATGTTGGAAAGTCTTTCGAGGTTACGGTAAATTTCCCGGGTACGGCGAGTCGGTACCGTAGTGTTAGAGTAGGTGACCAACAAGCCAACATGTGGCTGTGGTCTTTCGTATTTATTATTGTAATAAACGAACCTTTATTCGTATTAGTGATAAAACACCTTGGCATTCTATATCTTTGTCCCTTTGTCACAAGCGTAGATATAGTCCTTGCAGTTATTACAAGTACTAGTAATTGATCGTTAGGATCGTGAGATATTTACTTAAGTATTATAACTGTTAAACATGTTCCTAGTCGAAGGGTTACGCCACTAATGAGGATATCGGCCTTTCCCGTTAAGACTAGCACTTAGTGTATGTGTACTGCATCTCATCAGTAAACGGTATTGTGATATCGGCATGCATAAGT